CTCCACCTGAGGAGGGCCTTCTCTGCTGTGAGGGCGGCAGAGCAGTGGCACAGGCTGCCCAGAGAGGTGGGGGAGTCTCCCTCTCTGGAGCCATCCCAAACCCGCCTGGACGCCGTCCTGTGCCACTGCTGTAGGTGCCCCTGCTCTGGTGGGGGGGTTGGACTGGATGATCTCCAGAGGTCCCTTCCAACCCTCACCATTCTGTGATTCTATGGTAGGTGGGTTGGACTAGGTGGCCTTTGAAGGTCCATTAGAACCCAAACCATTCTGTGATTTAATGGCTGTTGTGTGATGCCCTTCTTTAGCGCTATGGGAATGAAAAGGCTCTCACTGGCCGTCCCAGCACCTTCATACAGCACACACCTCGCCTGGCTCCTGCCCCACGACCCCCTGGGGAGCAACTCTTGAACGTTGCTGGACCTTCTGCATCGTGAAGAAGCCTGCCTTTCCAACCCAGGGCCAGGCAGTGCCCCTGCTGCGCGTGGTTCCTCTTGTTCCCACCCAAAAATGCCTCCCCATTGTACTCAGCTCTCCCGGGTGCCCATTGTTCTTTTCATCCTTTTGTTTTCCCAACCGAGAACAGGAGATGTGTCCCCAGGGTCCAGCCCCACAGTCCTCTCAGCGCCCTGAGATGTGCATCACCGAGGAAAGAGGAAACCCAGGGCGAGATAATGCTGTATTTCCCTGTAGTCCTCTCCCATCTCCTGAACATCTCCAGCTCGAGATGTTTCCTGAGCTTGCGGTGGTTCATCTGCTCAGGAACCCACTAATTTCTGCATAATATTTGCTGATCCTAATTACTCACTCATTAGGACTGCTAAACGTCCCCCATCATCCTTTTTGCATTACCACGTCGCCTGCAGCCCCGGCTGGCGGTTTGCTTTCTGCACAACTGTGAGATTATGGCTTTTGGGGTTTCTAGGAAAACAGCGTTTAACGGTTTCCAATTATCACCCTGGCTTGGTAGGACAAAGACCAAATGACCCCTCCAGGCCTCTCTCTGCCCTATTTTCTGTCATCCCTTGAGTCTTTTTTCCTTTTTTTTTTTTTTTTTTCTGTTCGAATTCTTTCTTCCAATTGATTTAGCTCGTAATTGTTTTCAGCTTTGCAGACTTGGCCCTTTTGCAGGCTGAGGAATATAACTTTATTACTGGGTTGGACTTTCTGCTCGCTCACGAGAGTTTACACCAAAAAGCAATCACCGATGGCCAGTTCCTGATGAGATCAGGGGTGCAAATCCCCTCCTGAAGGTGCACCTCAATATTTCCAAAATGCATCTCTTTTTTTGGTTGGTTTTTTTTTTCTTTCTTTCTTTCCTTTTTTCTTAACGTTATTTCACTGGAGATGTCACAACTCGTGGTTGAAAGGAAATTCCAGGAGACTGGAATTTCCCACAGAGTCACGCTCAAGGTGGAACCGCAGGAGCTGCAAGGTGAAGTTCTCTGGCCCGTGAGATGGGATGATGGAGTCGTGTTTGGCCTTCAAAATCCATAGATGGTCAAAGGTGGCTGCTGGCAAGCTCCTTCGCTGTCGCTTTGCTCCTGTCTGCAGGGGTCTGTGTTTATTAGAGCTGCCTGGAGAGCCGATAAATGATAACGGCCGGTGAAGGGTGGGTGGGTGCAGGCACTCATGCATCGGCTGCACGGCTGCAAAGCTGGGGCGCGATGGCTGCACTCCAATACCTGTTGTGTTTCAGGGCCACCAGGACCCAAAGGAGACCAAGGCAATGAAGGGATGGAGGGTGAACCTGGTCTTCCTGGCCTGCCTGGGCTGCGAGGTAAGGAACGACACATCCAGGGGGCCCATAACTGTGTAAGACTTCACCCGAAGTCCATAGAGTCAACGAGACACCTCCTGGTGGCTCCCCAACCTGTCCCTTGGGACCTCGCTGGCTATGCACAAGTGTTGAAGACCAGCAAGATTAACCCGTTGCCCCATCTCCTGTCAGACTGACAGTCTTTAGGGGCAAAAAGTCTCTCTCGCCTCCCAGCTGGCCCCAGGACAGCGAGAGCTGCAAGGGTCCATCACCTGCAGGTTGATGCCCTCAGGCTCCTTTGGCACAGCCGCCCGGCCCAGGTTTGTGCAGGACCTGGCCACCACCCCGTGCTCTCTAAAAACAAGCCCTTACGAGGCACCAGGGCCGACCCTGATGCCTGCACACCCCCACACCGGCACACGGGGACCCGGCGTGGGGTCCCTCCAGCCTGGCAGAGGGGACTCGGCCGCTGGCTGCAGCTCTGAAGTTTTTCATAGGACATTTTTCTCAGTGTCAAGAACGCCAATTTTTTCCCCCTCTCCTTAATTCCAACCATTGTTTTTGAGGGAAATTCAATTAAAAACCCAACAGAAATCACCACCACCACCACCCCCCGGAGAATGGGACTCGCCTTGAGCCTGTTTCTAATTTTAAGCCAAACCTAGAAATCCTGGCTCTGCATCCAGGAGCCGGGGAGAGCACAGAGGTGATGGAGGTGAGGACTTTCTGTGGGTTTCTGTCACCATGAAGGTCTTCCAAGTTGAGGTGACAGGATCCACCCTGTCGGGGGCATGGACCTCCTTCTCCATCCAGGCTGTCCAGCCTTGGCTTCACCTTGACTGCTGAAGACATGACCCACGAAGGACAGTCAGTGGCAGAGCAGGGGGGGTCCAGCACATCTGAGCATCTGCTGGTCCTGGGCTGGGCTTAGAACCTCACATTTTGGTACCGCCTTTCTCCTGACTCCCTGGCGGGCGGCAGGACCAGCCAAGTTAGGCAGAGCCAGTTTGGAAACCCGATCGCTCTCTGAAAGCCCTTCTCAGCGCTGGCTGCCCATGCTCCTTTCACCGACGGCTATATTTTTTTTTTTGCGTTGACAGATTCATGGCTGTTTTTCTTGGGTGTGACAAGCATCAGAAATATATCGTCTGGCTTCTTTCCTTTTTTTTTTTTTTCTCTTTTTCTTTCTTTCTTTCCTTTTTTTTTTTTTTTTAATTTAAACAGAAAAACAAAACAAATCCTGGAGGGTTCACCTTCGGGAGGAGTCGCTGGAAGAGCCACTATTTTTAGGTCTTTCTCTGTCTCGCTTTCTCCGGTGCTTTTCTGGATGCGGTCGCAGCACCAGTTCTTTGGGTATGAGAAGGTCAGGTTTGGGTGCAGCCAGGGGTTGTAAAGCATCCCTGGTAAATCCCCTTTTGCACAGAGATTCTACCATCCTCCCTCTGCCCCGGCTCCTCCACTCAAATCCATAGCCAGGTCCCGACAGACTGTAGCATCCTCCCTGGGAGGGAGGGGGG